CTCTGCTATATGCCGGTTTGTTTGTCGCAATGGTTGCTTGCTCTGGAACGTTAGAAACCAAGGACGAATTAGACATTATGGCCCGATGCTGGCGTCAACTGCTCAGAGTATTTACTTTGTCGGTTTTGCGCTCCCAAAGAAAACGAGAGGCAACGAACCCGAATGCTTCGCACAGCAGCTGCGTGTTTGCTTCCTGACTTCACAAATTCATCGGATTTACCGAACCTTGTTGGCTTAGTGTATGTTCTCCTTAACTGAAACTCATAGTCCGCCGAAAGTGAATTCCTTCTCATTCTTATAACCACACCTGCATATTTTTTTTCTGCATGTGGCAAAAGTGGCTTGTTTTTCGTAGTTCGAATGTGCAGAGAGAAGACACAAATAGCGATATGTCAACATTTCGATTGTTTTCTTCAGTAGAAAACACAATACAAGCAGAAACACACAAACGATTATATACGTGGAAAAACAAGCAAAACCAATCAAAGTGTCACAATCAACACCAAAGCAACCGAATTGATTGCCTCAAAAGTTTCTGTGCACATAGCACAGGTTGGTGAGCCTTAATTAGAAACGCTTCCCTAATTACCAACCTTATCGGGTTTTGTTGCACAAGAACACTTTGAACGCGATCTCAGGGTTCACCTGCTTGGTGCTTGGTGTTATACGATACCAGGCTTCGAATAATCCTCAGGTTCGTCCCATTTTGTTGCATCATCACTTGTCCCAACCACTTTTTCAGATGTTCAGCTGTCCTCTAAGCCAACTGACGGTTAGTTGTGCCTATGTAAATGTCACCTCAACTGCAGGTGAACTGATAAACAACATGAGAAGCTGAACTACCCGACGACATGCTTCGACGGTTATGAAAAACAAGTCCTTGCGTGGTATGCATAAGTCGCAACTAGCCGGTCGTGTAGGTGTGCGTTAGGGCGGACCGGAGCTTGCGTCCAATATCATTTGCCACATGGTCCCCTTTCAACGACAAGAACAAATGGACATTCTTTTTCTCAGCCGTCAGCACCGGTGTTTTCCTGCTGGGAGGTCTGCTATGTACCTGAATAAACTTCTCAAGATACCCATTAGAAATTAAGGTCTTGTGTCGAATTTCTACTTCAGCTTTTAACCTTTCGAGTCTGCAGATACGTCTAGATCGGTAGAAGAGAGTTATCACTAAGTCGCGTTTGTATGCCCCCGAGGCGAAGCTGTCCACTCCAACTCGATTTGCGGTGGGCAGTGCGCTGCAATATAGTTTCAGCCCGTCTCCTAATGAGTATACCCAAAACGGCAGGCAACCGTCTTGCTCCCCTTCGTTGGATACCGATAGATTAGAGGGAATTAAATTCAGTATGGTCAGCAGCCCTGTAAAATGTTCTCCACTGGTGAAGACTTAAATGTCATCCACATATCGTCTGTACAACTGCTTCACCAACGTTGGTGGCGACTTGCCTTTCCATCAAGCCGAGGAATAGGTCGGCTAAAACTGGTCCCAGAGGGCTGCCCAAATCGACTCCGTCGACCTGTTTGTATGCGGTCCCCTCAAACTCAAACCGCATATTTTCGTGACACAATAGAATCATATCCTTTACCTACCCCACTGGAAGGCTCACAGGAACATTCTGGCTCGGGATAAAACCACATAACTTGTCGACCGTCTCACGCTAAGGGACGTTTGTGAATAGGGAGTCCAACTCTATTGAGTACATGAGCTCTGCACTCAGTGACAATTGTTCCAGCGTCTCGGCCAGTTCAAAGGAGTCTTTCAGGCAATACATAGCGTGGTGTTTACGCACCAGATCTAATAGTCTCACCAGCCATCGCGCAACGTTGTGAGAAGACGAATTGTTCATACACATAATCGGGCGTAGCTGGTTGCCTGCCTTGTGTAACTTGGGTGCGCCTCTCATTCTGGGTGTCTGTGTGACAGTCGGTTTTAAGTGCCTGTATTGCGACTCATTAATGTAACCATGTAGCAAGAGGATCTGGAGCTTCCTTTCTACTTGCTTCTCCACCAAGATTTCAACGTCCCTCGAATACGGTGGTCCGAGGTCGAACTTCTCCCTGTCCACTGCGAAGTTGACAAAGTTTACGGTGATGATGTTTGACACTAGGGCCTCACAGCACATCAATCAGCCAGCGCGGATTATCGCGCGCTCAACTCCATCGTGCCTGGACTTGTTGCTGATCAGCTGCGATCAACATGCGCGTGATGTTCAAGTCCTTGAGCCCATGGGAGCTAGTGACCACTCGATTGTCATGGCGAGCTTAGAACTGCCACTGCCATTTACTCCTCCGCTGAAGTCAGCCTTCAACTACTGGAAGACGGACTTTAACGGCCTCACTCGAGCCACAAGATTGATGGACTGGTCGCTACCACAGAATTCATCAGTTAAAGCCTGTAGTTCTACCATAAAAGTGGTAGTAGAATCACTGGGCACTCGATTTGTACCCCTTAAATATTGGAAAGCTGGACCAGTCAAGCCACACTGGTTTGACAATGAGTATGGCAAACTGGCTCGACGGCGACGCCGGCTATGGAATAAATTCGTACATTCTGGCTCTGCCGAAGATTACGAGACGTACCAAAGGCAACGGAATGCCTGCAATAGTGTGAAAACGAGCGAACGCCGAAACTTCGAAGAGCAGCTTGCAACCGCAGCAAAAACCGCTCCCAACTGGATCTTTGCATACGTGAAGCAACGCTTGAAGCCGACAGATAGTATACCTGTGTTGGAGGGCTCGGATGGACAACCTATAGTTTCCTGCACTGAATGTGCTTCCGCATTGGCGACGTATTTCGCTTCCGTTTTTGCAGATAACCAGGTGTCCGTGTCAAGTTCGATGCATATCACCCTACCGAGCTGGACAGCCTGGATTGCAGCGTTGAGGATTTGCGCAGATTACTCGCCAGCCTTGACCGTACCAAGCCTGCCGGGCCCGATGGGCTCCATCCGCTGATCCTCAAATCGCTATCGGCCATCATCTCGCCTTCGGTGACGGAGCTATTCAACAGATCGCTGTCCGCTGGTTCATTGCCGAGCGACTGGAAATGCTCAGTGGTGAAACCGATTCCGAAAGGCGGCGATCCGAGCAAGGTGGACAACTACCGACCGATATACCTGACCTCTGTTTTGGCTAAGACACTCGAGAAGCTCGTGAAGCGTGTTCTTCTGCACCATCTCGAGTCGAAAAGCATCTTGAAACCCGCTTAGCACGGATTCATAAAAGGTTGGTCACGTATCACAAACGTGTTGCTCTCGAGGCACGAATGGTTGCAAGTGCTAAACCAAGGGAAGTCGGTTGACGTTATTTATATCGACTTCAGTAAAGCGTTTGATAAGGTGAACCATGAGATCCTCCTTCGGAAGCTGAAGATGTGCGGTGTTGGTGGCTCACTGCACCAGTGGTTTAGTGACTTCCTTATTGATAGGACCTGGAGGATGCAGGTGGACAACTACTTGACCGAATGGTATCCCTCGACCAGTGGCGTCCCGCAGGGCACAATCCTTGGGCCCATTTTGTTTCTGATCCACATCAACAATTTGCCTAAGCTTCTCAGTTCACCTTGCACCTTATTTACGTAAGAAATGGAGGGTGATTGAAACGCCCGATGACTGTGACCTGCTTCAGGGTGACTATAACCGCCTTTCCATGTGATCAGCATAGGTCAACCTTCCTATCAACCCGGTCAAGTCGGTATTCATGAGCCTGGGCAAGGGTGGTAATGGCCGAGTCTACAACCTGGCCGGCCAACATTTACACCCATCTCGGCGTACTCTCACGTTGCGATTTGAAATCCGTTGAAAACGCGAACAGGCTTTACCAAAACTTACTGCGCATGCTCTGGGCGCTCAAACGCAGCTTCTGCACTTGGTCCGAAGAGGTTGCCACTCGCCTCTTCTATCATCAGACCAATACTAGAGTACAGCTCACCCGCCTACTGTCCGCTCACTCGGGGCGAGGTGCAAAGGATTGAGCAGATACAGCATGTGGCCACAAGGCTCATACCCGGTTTACGAGGTGTACCATATGAGGACCGGTGCAAGAGACTAGGGTTGTACATCCTGTCTTATCGTCAAATGCGGGTTGACCTCATCATGACGCACCGGATATCACATCTGGGTGATTACCCCATGTTGAGGCCGCTGCTGCATCTGCGCACACCAAGCATCACACGAGGACACTGGTACAAGCTTGTCGTACCAGATTTGAGGCGGGTCGCTCACCAACTCTTCTTCTAGCGGAGGGTGGTGAATATGTGGAACAACCTGCCTGCAGACATAATCGAAGCAAAGTCGGTGTCGGAGGTTAAGAAACTCCTGGACTCGCACTTTGCCGAATTGAGCTTTCGACAATAATCGCCATCATACTAGGTAGATTTGCTTGAAAAATATTAGACACAGCTACACAGAAGCATCTCTATTCGCTGCATTTAGTCTGTATTCAGTTTTTGTTTTCTAGCGATATAGAGGCACCAGCCGGTTGTTCAATGTAACCGGAAGCTGCAGTACATCTGGTTTCTACCCCCTTGATACTACCACTAAGTCCTACACAAGACTAGACCCTTATTTTTGTCTGTGGCTACCAGAGTATCCTTATCGATTTTTAACCCTGCGATATTCTGACTTTTACCGCCTCCCCCCCTCCTCTCACTAAATTCAGGGCCAAGTTCATCTCACACAAACTACCGACAGGTCTTCTGGGAGTCACGACCTATCAAGTTCTACTGTGATGTCTGATAGCTAAATCTTCCATCGCTAGCCATTCATTTGTTAAACAAAGGTGCACATTACTTACCGATTGCTTTTTCTTGGAAGAATATGAAGTATATTTGCATTAATCCGACTTCAGTGGGCTACTTGCCACAGTGAATCGTTCATCTTCAACTTTTTCTCTTCGTGCAATATCTTTGGCGCTAGTTGATAAACTAATGTTTGCCATACACCATTTTGCATGACACTTTTGAATGCTGATGTATTACTTCGTCACCATTTTTCCAGATGCTACTCTACCAGACCGTGTCGTTCTCAGTTGGCGTTCTTTCCGTAGGTGAGAACCGATTTCTTGTTCTCTTTTTTTAACGAAACTGCCTGCACACAGCTATGACATCTGTCGTTGTTGTTGTTCTGACTGCAATCCTTATTCCTCCTCCTAGTTTTGCTCTTCTGTTGTGGCCTTTTTGTGAACGGTCCATACGCGCTGATCACCACTGCGGTATCTGCGGATTTGGGGACACAACGAGTTCTCCATGATCGTGCCCGGGCCTTGGCAACAGTAACATCCATCATTGATGGTGCCGGATCGTTTGGTTAGTTCCACTTTTTGATTGTGTACCAAAACGACGCCCGGTCGCCTCATTCTTGTCTGCAGCTTGGTTGTTTTACCACGCAGGTCAGATTTGTGAACTGACCACAGTGGACTTGCGGGCCGTGAAAGAATTCCTTTTTTTACTCATAGAAGTCCTCTTGTTTGATTAACCCCCTACTGCTGCATACTGCTTTTACACTTCCAAACAATAGTTGCTGCACATGTAACCGAGTTCCCGGCTTTTCTCTCTCTTCTTGATATCCACAACGACATCTGGGTATTCTTGTTACCAACAAACCAAGTCTGTTGATGCTCGCAGGGCTCCATTTCAGTAGGTGATCTAATAAGCATATACGCACTACACGTTTGTCAGAGGACAAGAGGATCGCTCAACTTTTATATATGATATTCATTTCACTAAATTTGATTTGCTTTTTTCATTTGCTTTCTATCTCGATGCACTACCTTGTAAACAGTTTGTTTGTTGATCTGCGTGCCATTCGGACTCATTATTGCCTTACATTTGACTTTTCGGTTTCGGTTTGATTAACCATTCGAAAGCGGAGCTCCGATGGGCAACTTCTCATTTCCGATTATACCCGTGTACGACGAACCCAAAATCGTTTGTCCCTAATCTCATTGTTCCCCATCTGGATTCCTGCCGGCAAGTGCCGGGAGGTCGATTCAGTCAACTGAACATGTGCATATTATGTTAGTGCTGGATTATTAGCGTAGTGCAATAATTTGCGTGTCTCTCCGGTTCAACTGGTTTGATTGGGTGGCACTGTGCTTGCTACTGCTCCCAGCTTAATCATTATTGAAAGTACAGATGAGTTCGTTCTCTTAATCCCCCGTGTTGGGAGTCGCAACCGGGGCGATGCTGACCCTACGGTTCATTTTTGTCTTACCCCAGTTACACAATCATTCCCTTGTTTCATCTTGGCATCATGGTGAAATCCCGCTCTAATTTCGACAAGGCTTGTTACAATGAAGTTCAACTTCATCCTCGTTGGCTGTCGCAAATTTTCAGTACCTACGGTTGATCGCGTTCTGATTTACTTGAGTTCAGAGCAACCCGTTGTTCAATGCATGCAAAAAACTCTATCCAAACACTTGTGTTGCAAGACTATTGATTTCTAACTTTCAGCCAACGTACATTTGAGGCAGGAGGTCGCCACTGTCAGTGCTACAGTCCAAACTGCCATGGCGACGAGCCAAAAGCATCCCCGACTTTTTCTCCCATGAGTAATGTCCCTACGCCTGAACTTGTCCATGGCGACCACCTTGCGTTGTTGTCTTAGACAGGTTTGACTGTAGAAGCATCCACCTCCAAATGATCCCCGAGGCACTGTCCTGAATTATACAGGCGCTCATAACCATACTATTGTCCTTATTTTCGGACACACAGAGGTGAGTGTTGACCTCCGGACCATCCAATCAAGCATGTCCTGAATCGATGAAGTTGCCTTTTTACCCCCGGCCGTCGTTCGCTGGCAGCAGTTTAACCGAATCGCATATGTGTGAGTGTTCGCTGGCATCCACTCTAAACGTTGAAACTCATGCACCTTATTAGAGTGACTCCAGCATCGCATATGCCACACACCATCTCTTCAGCCGCAGCGGAGTCAAGAGGCCGGTAAGCTCCGTTGGATAAACCTCATTTTACACGCTTGCATCAACGTCAACAGCGCTGTCATTTATGTGCCACCTGTTTACTAATCTGGCAGTATGCGGATGCTCAGAGACCCGGTATGACATGAATCGCTAGTTTTCTAGGCAACTTGGTTTGGTTATCGGAATGATTGATGAAGGTACGGATCATCTGTTGCTACCTTCCAAGAACGTAAACTGAAAACAATGTATTTTGCTGACGAAGTCTCACAATCAGTTAACACTTTCCTTGCTCTCATTTCGAACGAAAGAATGCGTTAGAGGCGAGATTCATGGGAGAAACCTGTGCACTATTGACTCGGTGACTGCACCAATTTTTTCAAATGTTTTGGTTATTGCACGCATTCGTTTGATGTGCATGGCCTCAGTCGTTCGATCACCAGTGAGGTAAAAACTTATCGATCAAACCACGGGTGTACAGCATTGAAGTACGGTGATGTTTCCGTTTCAATCAGATCTGAACACTGCTTATTGAGGACATATGGACACCAGTTACCTATGATCGTGTGACTGCAAAGCACTGCTTATCTTTGGTAGGACTACTTGATGGGTAAAATTACTGATGTCCGCCGTTGGAAACATAATCTATGGTGCCACCGTAAGTTGTGCCAACCTCGAATCGATCACTTTAATCAGGTAGGGTTCTTCACTTTTCCACAAACTTACTGTATTTTTACTAATACGCCTATTCGGCCGGATTCTCAGTTGATGTCATTACATAGGAATGAAACTAGTCGAAAGACTGGTTCGAATGAATGCACTTCGTCTTACTGAACGGGTCTTCTGAATCTTCTGCACCAATGATTACTGTTTCACTGTTGACTGTGGCGTTGCCGAGAATCCCGTTCTAGTCTTTCATTTCATCCCCAACCTCTATCACTTGATCATCCTACTGACGGATTTATTTCTTGGAACTTTGATCGCCACCCAGGCCTAGTCAGATTATCATTACATATCTTGAAAAGTGTTGGAATGCTGTTTCCTCCAATTGGGACTCTTCAGTAGCGCGCATTTACCGCTTACCCACTTTTATGGACCAGTGACTTAAATCACAGCCATTTATGACGGCGGTCAAGTGCCATGACTGCACTCATATTAATGAGAATAATTTGTATATTTCTCGGAAATGTGAGATTCATTTCAGTACATCTGGTCCAGTCATTGTGTGCATTTTTATCCTTTTCTTAACATTTTATGTGTTATTTCTTGTGTTAAAGTGAGTCCTGGCAGATGGATCTATCGCACCTCTATGCACCGATCGGCATCGTTCCATTGTCATTTGGCTCATTGCGCTGTTCGCTTTGTTTCTTCTTCTAACACCTTTTCACTACCCTTTCCATCTTTTTAGGTGCAGCCTTCGGTCCGTTTCTCACTGGTATTCTGGTACCTTATGGCTGGTCTGCCGTATTCCACCTACTGCTTTTCTCCGACCTCATTGCCCTATGTATCGCTGTGTGCATTTACTGTCGGACACGCAGATCATATGCATGTTGAGGAGGCGGCAGCTCACGCGTGTAACAGCGCGTGATATTTTGATTCTCCCATTTCCTCTTTGCCGTGCATTGTCTTTTTACTTCGCTTTTATCCTCCATGTGCATACCACTACTTCGAAATGTGCAAACAACTTGTGATATTTCTGTTTTCGCACAACATCTGTGACGGATTTAGTTTTTCCAAACCTTTTCTTTTTGAAGCTTTTTTATTGGGGTTTGCTCAGTCTACTGACTAATGTGGTCTTTGTTGATTTTGTTACGCATTTTTTGTTTTAACTCGCGGTTTCCATATGATCCTGGATCCATTTTGATGATGGTCTTGGTTAGTTTGACTACTGCGGTCGTGTCCGAAGTAGACATTCTCTCCGTCCCTTCCCTTCGCTGCCAGTTTTTACACGATCTCCATGGCGACGAACCTAGCCTCCTGATTTCTGCTGTCCGCGAAGCCACACAGTCTATTTGTCATGGCATTATTCGACAACCATTGCGTCCGGTGTTCATAAAACCAAGCTCTGTCTATGACTGGTGGATATCACTCGCATCTTGCCTGCTGATGTATCCGTTTGGTTTCACAGCATTTGGTACATTTTCTCGACAGTCTGGTTTTCATAATTTACGTCCTAGTAGAATACACAGTTTATGTTCGCCAAACAAGCCACTCCGTCGCTGGTTTGCAACATGACAACTACTGGTGAGTAGGCGGATTTGGGTACGGTTTTATTTGGTCCATCGCCATTAGGTTATCATCTGCTCAGGTGAGTTACCATCCGCAAAAGCACCAGACGGTCGTTTCGTCTTATTGGGACTCATCAGTGGTGCTCATTCCCTCGATTCACCGCTGGCGGTTGAACCAATGACCCTAGTAGCTTGCATCAAGAGTACGCAGCTTAGACCGCTGAGTCATGAGGATGATAACCGACAATCACGGAATGAGACAGCTCGACCCATCCCCCACTGCCATACAGGCTACTGCTTGTGCAGAGGACAGTGGTTAGATCACCGTCTTTAGAACTTCCTTTGCCAATGCCGTGAATTCGTAGCATTTAGAGGACTGTTAAAGCTTAGCTTTGACTACTAATGAGTATACGGTGACCACAGGTGGAAGGGACGTCTTGACACCGGACGGCTAACCTCTGCACGGGCACTAGCCTGCATGGCAGTGGAGGATGGGTCGGGCTATCTCAATTCGTGATTGTCAGATATCGTCCCCAATGGCTCAGTGACATGAGCTTCTGACTAGTGGTGCAAGCCATTAGCAATTATTGGTTCGATCCCAAGCAGGGGATCAAGGAAATGCGCATCACAGACGAGCATCAGTAGGCCGAAACGATATTCTGGTGCTTTTCGTATTGGTAGCTCGCTGCAGCTTGTAGTCTAATTACGTTGGCCTAAATAAATGCATAACCTCTGTCGTGTAATGACCTTGATTAGCTACTCAGTGATTTAGCTTTGTTTCACCATTATGCTGCTGCTAAGCCAGTGCGACTACATCGTCCTAGTTCATCCAAGGAGTATACACAGTCTTTCCTGGGAATTAATAAGGCTGACTTTATGCCAGTTACTTTTTTACATTTAATTAGTCAAACTGTCCATTTCTCATAGGTTGGCTCTAAGCTTTGGCAGGGTGTGGATCGTTTTCAAAGTAGGCAATTGTTTGGATGCCTCTCAACAGTCAAATTGTGAAGGGATAACGGAGTAGCGGTACGCGACTAATACGTTTCTCATCACGCAGATAGCCTGCAGTACGGTTGCTTTATCGAAAGATGTCCAGTGTGACAAGCATGTTTTGATTAAAAACTTTGTCGTATAAATTTACACTGCTTGTTGTGTACTTTGGCACGTGTCCCGCCTGTTCTTACTTTACATTGGCAGTGTGTCTTTGGAAACGGAGTAGGAGGTTGGTGGACGGAACATTTTCATACATGGCACCGGAGCTAACACACTATGTGTCGATTTGTGGGAACCTGCAGCGGAAAATGCAATAGCAGCAATAAACTTGAAGAAGCATTTTTGATGCCAATCAAACTTATGGTGACCTTAAGAATTACGAGTCTGCTTTGTAATCCGAGGGCGCGGGTTCGAGCTTGCGTATGGACAGGGCAGCCCTCGCGGTATTCTTAGTCCACGTGCGACTGGCGGTGGTTGCGCGGCAGTGAAGCGTGCGTACCGGCGTACTGCCGCTGCCTTTTGTCAGTGAAGATAATACCCACTGGCTACGGACTTATGTTTCCTTCGGCAACGCAAAAGCGATAGCCGGCTCACTACTGAAATCTAGTTCAAGCGATACCTAGCTAGCTTCAAAAATTCCCGCACCGTTTGTTGCCCGTTGAGTGGTTCTCATGCTCGGGTACATTCTCCAAACCTGAACTTCTCGCAGGCTTTTTCTCCACTCACGATTATAACATTGGTCAAATCTCTCAAAAATGTCAGTCATGGGCAAACGTTTTATTCATCCTAGTGGTCGGCCAGGATATCGATTCCCACTATCAATGTTTTTCCGTTTGACAAGAACTTCCAAATGCTTCACACTATGTTTCGTGAGCTGGTGTTTGAGATAATTGAGACAACTCGTTCCAGAGGAAACTTTTAGTTAAAAGTTAGCGCGAGACTACCACGCGATTTAATTCCGGGAACGTTTTAATAAGTGCGTGACAATATGCACAGGATAATGCAATTAAAACATTCATAATTGCTACGTAACCATAATGCATACATATTGGAAGTGTGTGAGCAGACATGATAACACGGCAAACGGTTAAACTGAGAATTGCCTCCACCATCTAATTTAAATTAATTAGAATTAACGACGTGCCTCACGCAAGGGATAAGAAATGATAAAACAGGGCAACTGGAATTGCGTACATAAATTGAGTGGGTTAGTTGCAGGACATCCACAGCTCACCCTTTCAGTACGTCCATGTCTTGCAGCCACTCATGCCTTTCACCTAGCTGTGTACTAGAGAGGAAGGCTAAGGAGAAAGCCTGCTTAGCCAACCCACCAATTTGCACATATTTTCAAATGTCATCATTGGGCCTTCAGGCTAAGAGCACAGTAGGAAGCAGTGTAGATTAAGAAAAAATCCCATCTATCCAACTCACCGATGGGCTCATGTTTTCACAGGTCACCAACGGGCCATCAATCTGAGTAAAAGTATAGACTAAGTGGAAATCAGAGATAGATATCATCTAACCTATCGATCTACCCATGCTTTTATAGGCCACCGACGGGTCATCAATTTGAGTAATACCGAAGGATGTGACAATGTAGAAGGAACGAGACCAAGCTGAAGTACCTAGCCAGAAAAACTCATGAATCTGTACTTTTGTATTGCGAATTCTGCAAATACTTGGATGTGATCAGGTCCATTCGTCTGTGCAACTGACATGAAGCTTCTTTAACTTTATTGACAGTTAAGTACTCTTTTAATGGTATCTTAAATGTTCGCAGCGATGATGAACTTCTGATGGCCTGAGGCAATCTATTCCATAGCGTGGACTATTTGTGTGTAATGTTACACCGTAGACGTGTGCCGCAATGGGGTAGCTTTATCAGCTTTTATTTCTTGGGTCATACGGGGACGATTCTTGGAATACCCGCTGATAGTAGCTAGTCTATGTCAGTCATGGACAATTTTGTATAACAGACAGAAATTCAGCCTTAATCTTCAAAGTCATAGCGGTTCAATTTTTAACAAATGGCATCTAGCATTATAAGTGAGCTTAGAGTTGCAACCCACGATTCTTCTCGTAATAGACCTTTGTGTAGCTTCGCTTGCACTCGTGTGGCATCTTCTAATGCTACTAAATGTCGTGACACAGTATTCTAATAATGGTCTGGCGTAAAGTTTGAATGACAGGAGCTTAGCATCGCTTGTTAAAATCAGACGGCCTCTCATCTCAATAATCGGTCGTGTTTTAGCCACCTGCTACTCAACTTGTTCTTTGGAATCCAACGAACCTAATTGACGGAGACCTAAGCCACATATCGATTCGAATAAGGAGTGGGATTCCATGAAAAACAAACATAGTTGGAATCAAGTATCCATAATGCTGCATTTAGACGTTGAATATTTCCTGGAGGATCTGACACGCCAGACTTTCAGTGGAGCTAGGTCACTTTGGATCGCAGATATAAAAGACGGAGATTGAGGATCAGTGGCATACAAAATTTTTGTATCATCTGCGAGCAAATAAGGTCTACCATGTCTTATTACAGGGAAAAAATCATTTACATATATGTAAGGAAGAAGATGGCTAAGTACACCACTACCTTGTAATACTCCACCCGATCTTAAAGTGGAAAAGGTGATGCCGAACAAACACCCTTAGGATGAAATTAATCGCCGTTCGGAGGCAATGATGTTTATCTATGGCGAATTTGTTTTCGTCTGACACTTGAAAGGGCGTCCCATGCGCATTCCCTGCCGTTGGGCAACGCACACAGACCGCAAGTTATATGCATTCCTGTGTATGGATTGCGGAGTTGTGCGTTTCAACCCAAGTGTCAGGAATACAACTCCACGCGTTATCTCTTAAGCAGGCAATAGGTCTGTGCTTGGAGTGTAATAAGTAATCTGCACGTGTTATCTGTGCTATTGAGCGTTCTTCGATATGAAACATATCCCGTGCATGCTGACAAATACCAATATAAACCACTTCACAGCATGTAGCTCCATTCTTTGAAGGTCCAGATGACTTAGCCACTTTTCAATGCCTTATTAGAGTGATGGGTATTTAGTCCGCTATATCCTCCCTTCTTTCATCGAAGCAGCATCCGCCGTATCAGTGGAGTGTACACTTCCATAGTGATTTATTACTATGAAAGTTCCCAGTGTTCGTACTCTATCTGCATGCAATCGACGGGACCACTGTGGCAGTGTCATACGACGAACACCTGCTGATGTAAATCCCATCAACACCTAGCCATATGATCTGTCGTGGACATGTATACGCGGGCCATATAGCAGCTAACTCTAAACCGAATGAAGAGGCGAACAAGCTCATTTTCGGTGGATCTCGTCAGGCTGGTACACCACAACTAATAAGAATAAAATGAGTTAAAACGTCAGACGGGAGAAAAGTTCAAAGAGTAAAATTAAAAGGTCTAGGTCATCTAACTGATAAGGTCAAGTGCTTGGTTCACAAACGATCAATGGTATGTCAGCTGCATGTTTCTCAGCAGGGGTTACTGTAATATGGGGCCAGGGAAGAGAGAGAATTTGAACGAATTGTTTTTATGCACATAGGTCTGGGTTCTGGAGGCGGATGGCGATCGCTTCGGTTATTGCTAATAAGCGACATCTCACCGCTCGTGTGAAGCATCCAGATGCGCGGTAAATTGGCTGAAAACTTTGGTGCCTATCGATCCGGTGGTAAAAATCAACTATATGTGTCAACACGGCGCTTGTCACTGTTTTGGGTCCATCTGTACATAGCCAACTCGGGCAATGCTCACGGATTCTCTCAGACAGTTTCCTGGTTGTTCTTCCGATATAACTCGCTCGACATGAACAAGTAAAGGAGTATACGCAGAAAGAACACATAGAACAAACAGCGATAATAGAAAAGACAGTTACTGGGCTTCCTCGACAACTAAAACATGAAAACTCGATTGACTCTACCACGTTCGAACAACTTCGACCCACGGG